TAATTACCTTGGCGTATCTGGGTCGCTTATCCTTTGTTACTCGGATTTTTGCCTTTTCGGGTCTCATCACTGAGTTGCGAACTGGAATTTGTCCTCGGATAGGAAAGTGATCGCTGGTGACACATCCACCACGATCTACCCAAGCACGGGCGCTGTCGACATTACTCCAAACTAGGTCTAGCGTGTTTCCAGCTCGGTGAGTGGCCTCCCCAATAATATGACAGATCAAATGGTGTTTGTCTGCCCATTTCTCGATCATTTCTCCTTGTCCATGAGGACGTTCCACGCCAGGTTGCCAAGCCCAATATACCGAGTTAAAGTCCCCAGCAGCGACGGAGTTTGGCAGTGGAATCCAGTTGATTAGAGGCTGTATAGCTGTCGAGTCATTGGGTGCCTTGTAGACGTTGAGAAAAGTAATGCCGTTCACTTCTACCCAGCAATAGTCTCCTGTGGACACAACATAAGGAAAGATCTGTGTTGCCGATATTTTTTTATCGTCTATCCGGGTATAGGTCACAGCCCTCGGCCTAACATTTTCGCCGCCGTTAGGCAGGTGATAGGTATATCCTGGGTGATCCTTTGTTGTGCTCTTTTGTTTATTCCACAGAGGTTCTTGAACAAGAACCACGTCGATACCCAGCCCAAATGCTCGGGCAAGCGCAATGTTTTGCGATGAGCCCCCTCTACCTACGTTTATTGACATAAAGCTTAAAGTAGGAGAGAGGCTCGAAGAGACCCGTGGGGTGCCCTTCACAAAGATTTTTGCTGATTTGATGCCTCATCGACCTCGGCTACAGTTGCTGTAGCGTCGGACATGAGAACTTCAAAACAGTTGGTCGATTTGAAACCTGGCTGGTTAGTGTTTGACGCTTCTGCGGCTGCTGTCATCGCTGCCTCTGTGCGTTTGACAGCTGCTTTGGCCCGAGTGACTGCTGCGAATTCGCGTTGGCTAGCCTGTCTTATGGTCTGAAGGTTTTCCCTGGAGGCCATTCCAGACTTTGTTGGACGAGTTAGACAGTCCCGACTATCTGACCTGTGTGGACCTCCGCAGTTGCGGCACTTGGTGTGAGCCTTCCACTCCGCGATGGAATGCATAGTTGAAGTACAATTCCAGCAGGCTGGGGCGCGCGAGCAGCCTCTGGTGCCATGGAATTGTAGGCATCTTTTGCACTGGTTGATGCTTTGACGAGGCTGGTGGCGGACTGCAATCCCAGAGTCGTCGAAAAGTCGGAAACCTGGCCGAGGGATCGATGCTTTTTCGAAAAGGGCTACCCATGACTGGTATGGGGCGCCCGGTCGGCTTTTCCCGTGTGGGCGAACTTTTACCGGGACAGCTTTGGTGACCCTGACTATCTCGTCGGCCACCATCTTTTCTGTGATGAGAACTTTGCCCATTATTGTATTGATTGCGACTGGGACCGTCGCTATTCTAAGGGAAGCCAAGTCCGAGGCTTTCTCCAATATCGCATCCTGATGGGCGAAGGATCCAGCTAGGCTAAGCATCAGCGTGCGTGCCTCTTGGTTTTCGGCTCTGATTGCGAAGCCAGTTGGCACACGGTAGACATGCTCAATTTTTGTTTGGGGGATTTCGAGCATTTGTGTAATTGCTTCTCTAACATCGAAAGGTGAGAGTGTTTGCCAGGGATGTTCTTTTTCGAGGCGGAGAAACAAACGTTCTTCTTGCACGGCCGGTTTTGTTGGCCCGGTTGAATTTTGGGCCATTCGAGTCGAGTTTGCCGCCTTGGGCATTTATGCGTGACTTTTGTAGGTGCCGGGAGCGCTTGTAGACCATTACGGGTGATCGAGGCCCAAGTGGTTTTGGCCTGGCGCACTTCGGCTTGAGCCGCTTCGCAATGTGGCTCACTTTGCTTACCAGCAGCATATTCTGCGGTCTTGCAACTAGTAGCCTGGCTTTCGGGGCGTGGGGGGAGTGATGGGAGGACTGTACCTGGTCCCGCGATCATAAATTGAGCTATTGCAGCTCTAATGTAGACTTTCATAGAGTCTATAAATTGAACACTCGACCCTTTGGATAGGGGGGAGAGAGCGTTCTCGACACCGTTGATTGCAGCGGTGCAAATTTTTACATTTTCCGCAGTTTTTGCGGCCCGGCGTTCCTCAGCCTCAATTAAGGCTCTGAGTTCGGGGGGGCATTCCTCCGTCTGCCTGCCTTTATTTCCACTGTGAGGAGAAGGATTCTCTTCTGTGGTTCCTGGTGTATGTTCCAGGGGGTTTGGGGTAGATGCTGCACCTTTTGCCTTGTTAGCATCTGCAATCGCAGCCCGCCTCATATCCGGCACAGCGACTTCAATGAGAGGAAGTATATGCTGTCCGGTAGTCGCTGTCCCTAAATTGTTGCGACTCGTCGCTGCATTTTCAGCTCCGGTCGCATCTGGCTTGGAGTGAATTGAGTTAGGTAGTCTTTTCAGATTCTTAAGAATCTTGTCAATGTTAAAGTTGCCAACATCTATCATATCGCAATCTATGGTACTTTCGTCGATTAATTGGTCGATGTTCATCTCTTGAACGGCAGTCAGTGGGCCCAACTTGACGCTTGCTTTCTGTCGAGCAACGTGTTTGAGGTGCTTGCGGTTATCTACGATGTCTTTCGCCCGCGATGGCTTACTGCGAACTGGGGGCATATTGGTAGCCTGCCAGTCACTCACAAATTTTGAATTAAGGGCGTACGATATCACGATATCGAGAGAGGGAGGGAGAAGGGGAAAGGGTGAATATTCGAAAATTCGAAAATTCGAATTTCAAAAAAATTGTGTGTGTGTGTGTGTGTTTTCTTGTACTAATTGAGTCTATGACTATCTAGCACATTGGGCTCCTCTCTGACCCAGGCCACACCTTGTACAGTGCTCCTATCCTCTTTTGTTACTTGAAAGATCATTGATATATTCCCCTTGATGAATAGCCATTCAGCTCAGTTTTTACCCGTGGATTTCGGCCACCTTTTCCACGGAACCTTCTACCCAAAAAAATAAAAATGGTAGCAGTGGAAACTGCGTGCGCGGGAAAAAGTCTCAAAAAACCTGCAGACCCAGCCAGGCGAGGCCTAGATACCGGGACCACATGAGGTGCGGATATTCATATATATCTCCCTTCTTTGTAACAGTTGAGGTCGACTTGATCCAATCTGCCATCTCCATATCGGGTGCTGGGTACGCTCCGGAAACTCATCGGATGGCATCTCCTCCATGATCAAGGGTTGGTGAGGAGTTGGGCTCCGACCCTACCATCTGATCTGATCGTGGTTAGCTTTATGATAATGGTGATAGGGGGGATGTGTCGAGAGACGAAGACGATACAGACCGCGAAAGCGATTGGGGATCCTCGTCGAAGTGAGGACTTTGTTACTCAATCTCGGCTCTGCAGACTCTACAGTGAGAGCTGAAGGTTCATAGGGGACACCACTGACAGGTGTTGAGAATAGTCCCCCTCATATTAATTGTCTGAATAGGGAAGGTTAGTGAGGTTCAGAAGTAAGTGACCAATGTTCGATTAGATTAATGATCTTTCATGTACTATCATAAAAACGATGACTAATTTTGTTGATGAGTAATGAGTTACCCGTTTAGGGATGGCGTTAGGAGAGAGGGATATACAGATAATTCATTTTACCTCATGTAGCACCTTGAGGTGCAAGCAGGTTTTTATCAAAAGATACGTACTTTAAGTAGGATGACTCAGTTTGCCGTTTAGAACACTCACACTCAGATTTCATTTGCAGACACCACTCGAGGTTAACCCTTACGGCGTATAACCTCTTCCGTGCATACCCACCACACGGAAAAGCGTGAAAAACCTGTGGCTAACCGAGTGTGCTTTCATCATCCCACAAGTACAATACCACTGCGATTCTATGATATTGTGTCATAGCTAGATAGCTGCATTCGCAATTCAAATCTGATGCAAAAAAAAAATACCACTGCGAGGGAAAGTGGCGTGTAGGTCTGATTGGATACGACCCAGCATTCTCCTGTCTCGCTTGGGGTAAGTGTTTAAGCTACCCGGTATCTATTTGGGAGAACGGCCCAGATGATATACCACTGCACCATCCAATCCTGGAGAGAGGGATAACTACTGTTCATACGTGATTCCTTCACTTAGACAAGAATGAAGATATATGTTAACCACCAATTGTTGTTACCGCTACAGAAAGCTTGTGATACAAATACCACCCAAGTATCCCGACAATAAGATTCACGAAATGAAATTGATGTGGTAGGCAGCGGGGAGCGCAGTGTAGCTTTCTGGAAAAATGTTACTTTTCACAATAATAATGTGCTATAATTGTTATGCTCCCCAAGTTCTCATACTTTCCTGTATGAGTTCAGAAGCTTGTAGGTATTACTTTCAAACGAAATCCTAAGCGTCATCAGTATTTTAAGGTCTCCTACAAAGTTCTAGTCACTTTATTTTTGATTGTTGGGATAAAATATATTGTCCAGCGCCAATTGATCACCTGAGATCAGAACTATCCAAATGGGTATAACACATGTTTGCGTCATAGAAATCAAACAAACTTCTTCTTAAACATACGGAGAACAAGCTATCCGAGATCTCATTTTCATCCATGTAAAACATCAAAAATACTATTAGCTGAACAATACTCTTAATAATAAGGTGTAAACTTTATAGCTTGAACTCCAAATTAATTTTTGTGTGCGAAAGAAGACATTTTAAAATTTATGTCCTGATTTTATAAGAGAATAATAACTAAAATTGCCCCAAAATTGCGACGCTGGGCAGCTTAGAAATTTCAAGTGAGCTTGAAACAAATAATGATTTGATATACCCGTGCAAGAAAAAAACAACTACTGTCTGTGCAGAGAGACACTATTTCCCGAAGGCCAAGTTTGATAAGCAGCCAATTTTAGATCGAAAAAAGAGTTGATCCAAAGTTAAAATTTGCAATATCTAGGGTTATGGCATTATTGTAATGTTTGACTCGAACTTCAAACCAATAAAAACAAAATTTAAGATAAAAGCTTTCAGAATTCGTCCATACAGTCATCGCAGCTGCTCTGGTCAAGATGCTTGCTCATATATGGGCCATCAAGCCAATATCCCAGTTTTCGGTAGTAGTCCCTAGTCCCTATGCCCGAAATGACACTTAATTTTGTACTTCCGTGCTCTTTACGTGCTATCATCTCAGCCTGCTCCATTAAGAGAGTCCCAAAACCCTGATGTTGAAATTTCTTGGGGTTTCGAGCATGAATTGGCACTGCCGACCCATAAACATGTAGTTCTCGGACCAGACTGGTAGGTTGTTTGACTAGTTCAGGCCTAAATGTATACTTTTTCGTACATTTTCTGAGACGTAATAACCCGATCAAGATATCTTGTCGTGGGTCCTCATATGCTAAAAACGTTTCCCAACCTCCATTTGCTGTGTAATCTCTTCGCACTAGTTCGATCTGAGAAGGACGAATTTTATTCTTCACTTCGTTAATGCCAACTTCTCGAGTGCGAACATCTCGGCAGGTAGTACCAAAGTCTTTCATTCTACTTAGAGCGAGTTCTCTCAAATTTCCATTTTCAACTCCAGATGTAACCAAAGGCATCGGTATATCTCTTTGCACTCGATAAATACGAGTCCAAGGTGGGACAAGAGCTAATATTCTTGCTACAATATCTATAAGTGCGTTTGGAGTATAATTTTTATACCTCCCCGTGCGCCAAAGTTCATATAGCCCCGTTCCCCGAATAACAAGCGTTGGATATATTTTGAGACCATCAGTGCGAAATGCAGGGTTTTCAAAATACTCTCTGAATTGATCAAGGTCGCGCTCCATCCCAACATTTGGCAGATCTGGCATCATATGACTAACGACCTTAAACCCTGCATCTTTTGATAGACAAAAAGTTTCTGCGACAGCTGCAACAGTATGACCGCGGTTCGTATCTCGAGCCACATCTTCGTATAGCGATTGGACGCCTATTTCGAGCCGCGTACATCCATACCTCAACATTGCAGATAGATGTGGTTGGAGACAGTAGTCTGGACGAGTCTCAATCGTAATTCCTACACATTTGATATTGCTCATTTCTCCAGCCTCAACAGCCTCATCCACGTTCTTACCCTGATATCCACTTAACGCATTATGAAGTTGTGAGATAAAATTATCACGGTATACTTCTGGTAACGACATGAAGGTTCCTCCCATAATGATGTATTCGACCTTTTCAACACTATGCCCGAGAGACTTAATTTGGTCAACTCGACCTCGCGCTTGTTCAAAAGCATCATATCTTGCTCTTATCGCTCGCATTGAAGTAGGTTCATATCCAGTGTAAGACTGGGTAGAGTATTCAAAATCAGAGTCGGGGCCACCTGGGCAATAAACACAAATATTTCCTGTGTATGCGATATGAGGGCATCGATGGGGCTTGCACATGACTGCGACAACCGCTATACCTGAAGCGCTTCCTACAAGATGTTAAGATATATCCGTCTCTTGAAGGAAATTACCAACGGATTGGCTTCGCAATTAACTTTGGAAGAATATATTTCTTGTAGTGCTCAGGTATAGCAGCTATTATTGCTGTCAATGGTGGAATATTATTCAGTTTATGCTTCTTCGACATTTTTGCACGCAGACTATTCAAGTTGATGTCTTTCCTAGGTTGTGAAAAATCTTGTTGAGCTTCATAATCTTGTACTAGATGGCTGACGATATCAGAGCATGCCCGTATGAATCGTTCATTTTCTGATGAAGAATCGCGATTTTGTGCCTTTAATTGCCGTCCGGAAGGCTTGTTAATTTGAGCCATCATTTTTCCGACAAAGATGCTCTGCGTCGTTTGGATAGATAAATGCGTAAAAAATGGATGGATTTGTCTTCACGAGACCATGAGTGGGGTCTAAAATATTGACAAAGCTGCAGATGAACCGTGCGGTGGTTTGGTATCAACATACGTAGCAAGAACCCCGAACTTACTTGATTAAAGTATTGTGTTGATCACCGACATACATTATTCATGAAATTAATTTACTCAAACAAGATGCAGGCTATCTCCAGAATTATTAGACCAGTAGTTCAGGCTGCCTCTAAAAGACGAGCCTACTCCACAACTTTATCACCATATAGCGGCACCGTTCAGAATCTTCGACTTACAAAGGATACTAAGGTTGTCTACCAAGGATTTACAGGAAAGCAGGGAAGGTAGGTTCATATTCACGATTTTCTTCAAGAATAACTGTGAAGATATTGTTCTTACGATGATTGGACAGTTTTCATGCCCAACAAGCCATAGAATACGGTAATCGATCGTGGTTGTAGCCATTAAGACGTCGCAACTAATTATGGCCCAGGAACACAAGTTGTTGGAGGGACTAATCCTAAAAAAGCTGGTAGTACTCATCTTAATCTGCCAGTATTTGCGACGGTGGAGGATGCTATGAAGCAAGTTGGTGCGAACGCCTCTGCTATTTTTGTCCCGCAAGTACAATCGTTCACAATTATTGACAAAAAACTAACTGTGAGTGTAGCCCTTCCGTAGCTGCTTCTAGTATTGAAGAAGCAATTGCGGCTGAAATTCCTCTTGTTGTCTGGTAGGAAATCAGTCTATTTTCGAGTATCTAATTTACCTAACTTTCCACAGTATAACTGAGGGAATCCCACAGCATGGTAGAGAAATACCATCCATTCAAATATAACGCCGCTCATTTTAGAATAGACATGGTACGAATTACAGATATTTTAAAGACACAAGGAAAAACACGTCTACTAGGTCCGAATTGTCCCGGTATTATTGCACCAGGACAATGTAAGATTGGAATTATGCCAAGCTTCATTCACAAAAGGGGTCGAATTGGTATCGTATCTCGTTCTGGAACTTTAACTTATGAGGCTGTTAATCAAACAACCCAGGCTGGACTCGGACAATCCTTAGTCGTCGGAATCGGTGGTGACCCATTCTCTGGTACAAACTTTATTGATTGCCTGAAGGTTTTCTTGAAAGATGACGAAACAGATGGTATAATTATGATCGGAGAGATCGGAGGCTCTGCCGAGGAAGATGCCGCAGAATTTCTTAAAGAATATAACACAAGCAACAAGCCCGTAGTTAGCTTTATCGCAGGAATTTCAGCACCACCTGGGAGAAGAATGGGACATGCTGGTCAGTGTGTTCCTTCTATTCATTGAATATTACTGAAATATTTAGGTGCCATTGTCAGCGGCGGAAAGGGAGGTGCAGACTCAAAAATATCTGCACTAGAGGCAGCTGGAGTAATTGTAGAGCGCAGTCCTGCTCTTCTAGGTAAGACACTGTACGGGGAGTTTGTTCGAAGAGATATGATATGAAGTCTTTGTTAAATTTAAGTATTTTGTTTGTAAGGGGCTCGCGATCTGGGACACGAGCACAATCTTCTGTAATTTTAGGCCATCATGACAGATCAATGTAAATGTTTGACCGTAACTAATTGCCATTTCACATTATACCATGACAGCTTGATTACTACACATCTTGCGTATCCCACGCCTGGGCTAAGTGAAATTCGATTATGTAAGCTAGCTGCTCGCATTTGACGCATAGCTATACACTCTAGAGCTCATCACATCTCCCTTATCTCCTAGCAAGGATTATCAATAGTGTCTGTCAAACCGATAAGATTATAACCCATTTTCAGAATGCTATCCGGCATTTTAATATTCAATCAAAAGGGTGAAAATCTGATCTTTCGCGCCTTTCGAAGTGACTGCAGACCTCGGTTGGCCGATATTTTCCGCATACAGGTGATATCCAATGCTCAAGTAAGATCACCAATTTTAACTCTGGGATCTACAACCTTCAGTCATGTAAAGCACGAAAATATATATCTCGTGGCTGTTACAAAGAGCAATGTCAATGCAGCGCTGGTATTCGAATTTTTGTACAGGTTAACTGCGTTGGGGAAAGGTTATTTTGGGAAGTTTGATGAAGAAGCCGTTAAGAATAACTTTGTTCTGGTTTATGAGCTTCTAGACGGTGAGTGCCTACTAATTTACAGGGTTAAAAGGAGTGATTCTAATGTTGCTTCTAGAAATTTTGGACTTTGGATATCCTCAGAATACAGAGACAGATACCCTCAAGATGTATATCACTACGGAAGGTGTCAAAACGGAAAGAACTATGGAAGACTCTGCGAAAATAACCATGCAAGCAACCGGTGCGCTTTCATGGAGGAAAGCTGACGTTAAGTACCGAAAAAACGAAGCCTTTGTGGATGTAATTGAAGATGTCAACCTTCTTATGTCGGCAACTGGGACAGTCCTCCGTGCAGATGTTAGTGGTCAAATAATGATGCGCGCATATCTCTCAGGCACGCCTGAATGCAAATTTGGTCTTAATGATCGGCTTCTACTAGACGGTGATAACTTGTCATCTCTACCCTCCGGGAATCGTATGGGAACGAAAGCTACCAAGGCAGCTGCCGGAAGTGTAACTCTTGAAGATTGTCAATTTCACCAATGTGTTAAACTAGGAAAATTTGATACCGATAGAATCATCTCGTTTATTCCACCTGATGGGGAATTTGAGCTCATGCGCTATCGCGCAACTGAGAATGTTAATCTTCCGTTCAAAGTCCAAGCTATAGTTAATGAAATTGGTAAGACAAAAGTCGAGTATAGCATCGCTATCCGCGCCAACTATGGAGCCAAGCTCTTTGCCACCAATGTCGTCGTTCGGATCCCAACACCCCTCAACACGGCCCGGATCACAGAACGTTGTACCCAAGGAAAAGCAAAATACGAACCTAGCGAGAATAATATAGTGTGGAAAATACCTAGATTTACAGGGCAAAACGAATTCGTACTAAGCGCAGAAGCAACACTCACGAGTATGACGAATCAAAAGACATGGTCCAGGCCACCCTTAAACCTCAACTTTAGCTTGTTGATGTTCACAAGCTCTGGACTGCTCGTACGCTATCTGAAAGTTTTCGAGAAGAGCAATTACAGTAGTGTGAAATGGGTGCGCTATATGACTCGAGCAGGCAGTTATGAAATCAGGTAATACCGTAAATCATATCAAGTATGCTTCCTAACAAGTATTAGATTTTGAGGCTCTAGAAATAAGGCGTTTTGGATAGAAGCATAGCATAGGAGTTCTGGTTTCGATAAGAATGGACGCATACCTCCAGTTGAGATTTTGCAAAGACAGAAAGATCAAAATTTTATCACCATATAATCAAACTAGCTGAAATCTGTTACTTCTCTGAATATACACCCTTGATTTTCTCTTCTATGCGAAGTCATTTGTATATTGTCTTCAAATATGAGCTATAGATGTGTTCAAATTTAATCAAGCAGCTCTACATAGCTTTCTTCCTTATACACCTTTCGAATTCAAACCCAGAAGTTTGAGCTATCTCGTTTCAAAAGTTTTAAGGGAGCTAGTTCTATCCAATCATCTAGTGTGTCCTCAGCTATATAGCTATGACACATGGCTAATGCTTATGTACATGTTACCAGAGTGTTTTAACTACAAAGTTACTCATACCATATATTTTATGTGTAAATAAAGCAATGAATTATATTTTTTCAGACAGAATGTTTGATTATTATTCGCGAGTACTCACCAAGGAGATGATTCAAAGCCTTTGGTTATCTTCAAATAAATTCATCATCCACGTATATCAACACCGGGAGTGATGTGGTCGTGTATTGCTAGAGTAGGACCAGTAATCATCCATCTCGAATAGGATGAGTCCAAGCTATCCAGAATTTACTTGAGAGACTGGCTCGGATTATGTACCACCACACCATCTAGTTATGATTTCTAAGTGTCACCTGTGCTCTCAGAAAGCAAGTCGTAGAGCGCACAGTGCTCTCCAAAGTAATGTTCTGGTTCCCAAACCTCGAAACCTCCCAACTTGAGTATAGATCCATTCTGTATTCTAGCTGCCCTCACATATCTCACATCTATCCCGAAGATCTGCCTAACTAGATTTGTGCACCACAACTTGTCTCCAAGTTTTAATTTTGACGTGGGCGTGCATTTTAGGGCTAGACGAGGCCATTCTTAGCTGGCCGGGATAAGGTAATAGAAACAAGGATGTACTTGTTTGGACTTCCATTTTTGATTAGGTCTAGGTCAGGCATTATCTCGATAAGAGTTTTGTTTGTGTTTATTGTCCTATTGAATTTATGACTACTTAGGGACATTTAGTTCCTTTCTGTCTATAGGCTGGGAATATCTATGCCTCCTTCACGACTTCTTTCCAGCAGTAATACCCTCATAGGTTTTTATTGGAGTACTCACTAAGAGGAGACGTTATCTCATCTTTATGTCCTCTTTACAGCCAAAAAAACGATGGCAATTTGCTGGTATATATCTTTAGGGAAACATCTCAAAATCCACTGGGTGCGGGGCTCTCCTAAAACTGATATCAGAACTAGACCATAAAATATAGTGACCATTCTGAAGCATTCGAAGAGGCCGGCTAGCTGGGAGCCGTAGTCTTGTGGGAATCTCGGAAATTTTACGCTCTGCTTTTCTATCCTCCTTCCAACACTTTCCCGGACGTCGTGTTGATATGTGAGAAAAGTCTTCACTTGGTCTTTGTGCCCACAAACATTCCAAAGTCGAGAATCCCTCGAAAATATCAATCCTAGCATGACCATAAGAGATCTCTTTCATATTACATTTCATAGCGACGTCTCTTTCACCTGTCCTCCCTCAAGTTGTATCGGCCCAGACCAAGACCCGAGCTTTGTATACTATGACATAACTTCTACTGTGATATCATAATATCTGTTGAAATATTACATGATGTAATGAGGATTCCTTGAAATATTGCTCTAAGCTCAATGTGTAACATTGAAGTTGGAATTATCAACTATTAACTGGGAAGTGGTATCCGCTAGGTGGAGATAAGACGAATGTCAATAATTCTAGTGGGGAATGCGGATAGTTAGTTGGAAGGATATGATAGAACCTGGGTCTAAGTGTTATTTATATATAGACCTGCTCATATAGGAGAAAATAAAAATCATCCGAATTTTACAATAATTTCTTTCTTGCGGTTTTACGTAGCGTCGTAAATTTAAAGTGGATGATGGTCAGTAATTGATGAGGCGAGCTCCTGTCTGCACTTGGAGTAACGCCTTTTCGGTTGTCGAGGCGAGGTGGTTTGTGGTAAGGTTAATGTTAACTACTCGCGCGGGAATGATAAGGCCGATGTTGATGAGAAGTCGTCGATAGTAGATATGCTTTTTATTTTTATTATTTATTTGTTTTTTTTTCATTTTTTTGTCCTATCTGAGTCTATGACTATGTAGGATATGCAGGTCCTCTCTGCCTACAGGCTAAGGATACCTATACCAGTAGTATATCCCCTCCTATGCCTCCAATATAGCTCCCCCCAAAGAGTACCACCCCTCACAAGTCCTCATTCGATCATACACTTAGAGGAGCCCTTAGCCCTTCATTATCTCCCCTCTCCAGCTAACGAAACGATGGCCATTTGCGGGTGTATGACAGCCGGGAAAAATCGCAAAAACCACTGGGTGCGGGGCTCTTCTATTACTGACATTATGACTAAATCCTAAGACATAGTGATCCTTCTGAAGCGCTCGATGAGGCCAGCCAGCTGGGTGCTACAGACTTGTGTGTACCTCGGGAAATTCGCCCTCTGCCTTTCTAGCCTCCTTCCAACTCCTTCACGAAGGTCGTGCTGAAATGTCAGAAAAGTCTTGACAGAGTGTGATTGCTGTGTAGTAGCTTAGCCCAACTTCTTTTGTGCCGTCCAGGGCGCTGGAGAGTGCCGTTGACTCATCGACAATTGAAGTCATCCAGGCAAATTAGCCGAAATATTTTTCTTGGCGCCCACAAACGTTCAAAAGTTGAAAATCCCTCGGAAATGTCAGTCCCACCATGGTCTTCAGAGACCTGTTCGCCCCCTCGCTCCACATCTCAGCCGCCTGTTCTTCCTCAAGTTGTCTATCCCATTAGAGCAACAGTCCCATACAAGCCAAGACCCAGGCTTTGTATTTCTCGACTTGATTTCCTCCTTGGGGGTATAAATAACATCGTAAATGTATAGTGAGAGATGGCTGGAGATTAATGGGGCAAGCTCCTGTATGCAATTGGAGCAACTTCTTGCTTGGTCGCTGAGGCGAGATGATGCGTGGTTAGAAAGAGGTTGAGGACTCAGATGAGAATGATGAGAGAGGCATTGTCGAGAATTAGTCAAATGAAGATGTGTTTGAGGTTGCTTTCGACTTCGATTCGGATGCGATTCTTCTTGGCTATCCTAGATATGCAGAGCATACTGAGCGATTACACCGGCACCACAGGAAGGTGAAGAATTCGTCTTTGCCGGCACTTAGCTCATTAGCGAGGCGCTTGGAGTAGAGCAAGAGGGAGAGAGGAGACAACGTTTTATTATCGAGGTACCAGTTAATTGACATTATTCACCGACTTCGTGACGGACAGCTGACTTCGTGACGGCACCCAACTTGTATTACTTCATGCTTTACCAACAGAAGGAGACACCTATACCACATAACTCGCGGAGAAAAGTTAACAGATGATGAAGGCATTTCTGGATAACTCAGGGTTTTTGAGACGTTCCCCTGGGTAGTTATTCACGGATAAGGGTTGACTTGGAGTGAAGAAAAAGCAGCCATAACTTCGCAGCGCTACTTGCAAATGAAATCCAAGGCATGAGTGCTCTTCTTGTAAATTGAGTCATCTATTATGTACTTTTCTTTGACATTGTGTCATGGCTAGATAGCTGCATACGCAATTAAAATCTGATGAAAAAAAAGGCACATTGGGATTAAACGAGGCACCCATCAATCCTGCCTAAGGCATTTGTTCGGGATCCTAACACTCAGTATTGTTGGAGTTTAGAAGGTCATCGCCTCGGTTTAGCCTGTTAGGCGTTGTCGAAGCCGGCTCTTTGTCTTTTGCGTTGCTGTTACTGTGTCTCGCGAGAATCTATACTGGTTGTGGAGTGCCCGTGTTAGTCTTTAATCCCGATTTTGGAGTTAACGCGGGGATGAGTGGCGTTTTACTGCCACTGCCACCGGCAGCAGAGATGTAGAGGGTTACGTAATATGGTTATGTAATGAGAACTAGTAGGGCGGTGGTCTTGTATTTACGCGTCGTAGATAAATAACAAAGGAGCACTTCCGACCTCCCACAGCCTCGAACCCAAACGTCGCCTACTCCACTTGGGAAGGAGACACCAAAGACCATATTTCGCGCGGAGAAAAGTTGAAAGATGATGGAGGCATGTCTGGATAACTCAGGGTTTTTGAGATGTTCCCCTGGGTGGGTATTCACGGATGAGGGTTGACTTGGGGTGAAGAAAAAGCCACCATAACTTCGCAGTGGTACTTGCAAATGAAATCTGAGGCATGAGTGCTCTTCTTGTAAATTGAGTCATCTTTTCTGTACTTTTCTTTGATATTGTGTCATAGCTAGATAGCTGCATACGCAATTAAAATCTGATGCAAAAAAAAAAAAAAAAGAACCCAAACGTATTTTTGTAACCTTTATTGGCCCACCGTATCGGGGCTAGCTAGGTTTCCTCCACATAATTTCTGCGATCATAGCCTGTAAGGCTGCACCATTGTCTTCAACAACTCGTCAGAGCTATTGGCCGGTTGTGTCTGCCAAGGTTCTGAGTTATCTACTAACGGCGCACTCTACCTCTGCGAAGCGCAGGTTGAAATCCCTCGCTTCATCTGCGAGAAAGTTAGTCATTGTAATACCTGTTTAGATCCATAGTAGCCTTTGGTATGTATATACCTTAGGCAGCAAGGTTAAGCGTGGCGTGCACGGGCACCTACGTGAATACTGATATGGATCTCTCATCATGTGGATAAAAGAGGGACAACTAATACACAACCATTTTACACCAGTATTCAAGTATATGCTAGAAACCGTAGCCACAGAATGCTACCAACAATACCCAATGACTCTGTGAAGTTTGGGGTCGAGCCTTGGCAGCTCGCCTCGCAGGTCGGCTCTACAGTTCGATGTATATTGCTTAGATTGTTCGGATTGTTCAGAGGCCATGTGAGGACCATTTCGACGTCAGGACGTGTCTAATTGACTGTTGGAAGGAGGGTCAAGAGCCAGTCTCTGCAGGGGACTTTGGAAGCATGGGAGAGAATGGTGAGAACTACAGTAGTAAGTTGAAGATGGTAGATTAAGATGATATTTGTTGGTCCGGTAACAATGGAAACTGCGTCCGCGGGAAAAGGTCTCCAAAAAACTGTAGCCATAGCCAGGCGAGGCCTAGACACCAGAGCCACACGGGGTGCGAATATCCATCTATGTCTCCCTTCTTTGTAACATTGAAGGCCAACTTGATCCGTTCTACCATCGCTGTATTGGGTGCTGGTTGCACCCCTGATACTCATAGAATGGCTTTTCTTCCATGGTCAAGTGTTGGTGATGAGAAGGGCTTCGATCCTGGCATCTGATCTAATCGTGATTAGCTTTATGATAAAGGGTATAGGGGGATATGTTGAGAAATAAAGACGAAAGAGACTGCAAAAACGAATGGGAATCCTCATCTAAGTGAGGAATTTATTACTCGATCTCAGCTCTATAGACTCTATAGTAAGAGCTGGAGGTTCGTAGGTGAAACCACTGATAGATGTTGAGAATAGCCCCCTACCTCATTGTGGTACCTGCGAATCAAATCCATGGTGGAAGTGTCTCTAACGCCAGAAATTCCATGCTATATATATAGATTACACCGACCATGGTTTTAATTTTAGGTCATAGGTTGTACCCGCTATCCCCTAAGGGTCAAAGACTGGTGTGTACGGGAAAGATCATTTTTATGTCACGCCCAACTTGTTCCCACCACGCGAACCGCTACACAAATAGTAGCTACTTGTTGTAAAATCGGTATGGGTTCGATGAGTAAGGCGGCTTAAAGAATATAGGCTCGATTTATGAATAGAATAATAATGATATGAATCGGGAAAATATGTGATATACTATGGAGAAATAAAAGGTGGATTGAATGAATTAAATTGATTAGATTATCTGTCTTGGTGATTCCTAGACAGCCTATATACATGTATACTTGATAGAACAAATCCAAACTAGATACCATCCATTACTCGCTCCATAATCTAACAATGACAATGAATCGCACGACAGTATACAACATGAGTATGGGGTCAGGGTCGGTGGATGAAAGCCTACACGTGTATCATACCATACCATGCACTAGTCGAGTCTCAAGCATCAAACATGCTCAATAAAGGAGATATCAATCATCCAGGTCGTGAGTCATGTGTGAGAATCTTGGTTGTTCCAATCATCGGGAAACTTCAGGCACATAGAGTCTGAATTTCCAACATTACTTCAAACCAAAAACCAAGATAAATGGAAAATTCTCTGAAGTAGGGCTCATACAATGTATTTCTTACACATCCTCTCGTCAATCACACCTCCCAAATGATAAAATCTGTCAATTCCCGCCGAGAGCTCGGGATGAGTTGTCGGGTTTCCACCACAATTATCAGTCCCTCTTCAAAATTTGTTGAAGTCATTACTGACTACCTCTTGGCGCTTATCGTGCCTCACATATATTTTTCTGGGTTCAAGACCGGAAAGTCTAGGCCCCCCGGAATCATCGTATCTTTCGAGACAGGTTGACTTCCTGCCTCAGCCTTCATTCCAGTAGCCTTGGCTCGGGCTCTGCAGCGAATTCTCTCTGACTAGCTTGTCGAATTAAAACTAATTCCTCTTTGGTTATCGGTCCAAATCGGGAAGTTCGAGCCAAGGCAGCATCGACACTGTTCGATTTGACGACAAGGCTGGAGCTTTATAGTCATTCTAGACTCGCCGAAAAGCCGGAAGCCCGCACGAGTTGCAAATTCCTGAGGAAATAGAGCATGCTAGTTGCGAGTGGCCGCTCCTGTAATGGCTCTTCTAGGGTTACTCCAGTGATCTCATCAGAAACCCAATCTGCGTCGACCGCTTTAGCGCCCTCTAGTGAATTAACCTTCACTGGAACATTGGCTATCCGGAAGGCGACAAGGCTCGAAGATGACTCGATTTTGGTGTTGAAACTCGCCAATTACGAGGCATCGAAGAGGCCTTGTCTTTGTTCGTCGTTGTTTGCCGCAATGACAAAACCTGACTTAAATTGGTGCATCGAGATACTAGTAATGAAAGCGCATATATTATGTTCCAACAATGCGAATAAGGTACCCGCGGGGGAAAATTTCCTCCACGATTGGTTGCTTTCAAGACGTAGGAATAGTCGTTTGTCCACTTTTACCTTGAAGGCCTCTTTATTTGGGGGCGTAGCCGCAGGTTGGGGCACAGCTTTCACAATCGGGACTGCTTTTTTTGACGTCCATTTCATGCTACAGTAGCCCAGGTGCTTTTTGTAGGCGGCACAGGGACTGTCGGAATTATTGTGCTCCTGGCGTCGGGAGCCCTCAATGGAGGATCCACCGGGAGAGGAGGAAGGACGAGTGGCAAAGAGGCTGGGCCCGAGACCGCACATTTCGCTATGGCAGCGAGTAGGTCGAGTCTTATGGGGTCTACAAATTGTCTGTTTGACTCAGTGGTCAAAGGGAGGAGTGTTGCTTCGACGTCATAAATGGCGGCGGAACAGAGTGCTAGGTTGGCCGTAGATCGGGCGGCGGGTCGTTCTTCTGCCTCGAGAATCGGTCGAAGCTTGGGCGGATAGTCTGCTTTTGTGGCAGTTTTTGGCTGCGACGTTAGTTTAGGTGCTGCTTTTGAAGAAATGTTGTGTATTGGAATAATCTCGTATAATTGATGATATGGCTTACTTATTTGCTTGGTTGGTTAGTTTGCCGTTCTTGTCAAGTTATCTGTCGTAAATAGACATCTCCAAGTTGTGTTCACGATATTTACAAGATTATCCGACGGTTTTGCCTCGGTGAGAGAAGATTTGGAAGGTCCTTCTATCCCCGGTGTAGATTCGACTTTTTTTCCATATGCAGAAGAGACCCATACGGGCAGGAGTCGTATGAAGGAATTTAATTAACATTATATTTTTTTGTACTGTTACTCTAAGTGAAGTTGTAATAATTAGACACATTCTTGTCCTACATGACTTTCATAATCTTTCATATGACACCTTGTTAGTAATTCATACTAAATCAGGCAGGGCAGAGAAGTCTCCAAAGTCAAAAGTTGATCATCTTTAACAAAGGATCACTGAGTTTCTACTTAATTTTATTTGTGGGGACGACTAATATTGATACACCATATACATCTCATCGCAGATTTCATGAATCCAGAGAAATCTCTAGAGCAAAGTAAGGTGATGCCCTAATTATGAGTCCAAAAATTGATACAATCTGAATAAAAATAAGCTTTTTCGGTACACATGCTATCACTTCCTTAATTCTTGATGTCGGGATAGAACGATACTTTTAAGATAATTGCTTCTATTATTGTGGTGGAACAGTATCGTTATTTTTATGCACGTTCTTTTTAAATCTGTCTAAAGAAGGGCAGCCAATATTAAAATGATATCTCTATTGTACTTAATAAAATAAATGCAGCATATAAGTTTAAATGAGTCTTATTTAATGCCCTGATGGATTAAATTGTAACTCACTACATGCTGCCTATCACCAAGCAATCTAATTTACTATGTATTGTGAAGGATGATCGATAATTAATTGCTGTAGTGGTACGACTATTTTCCTCCTAATTTTTCGGTAAGCTTGTGACTGCCAACAGCGGTTAGATTCTCAGCATGTAGGAAAGGGTTAAGAATAGTGTGATTTTCACGAACACTAGACTTGTGATCCGTACATAACTGAAGTTAGTCTCGTGATGTTCCTTGCAGCCACTGGACGAACTAACATGCACGTATTCGATCTAATTGGCTCGGAAGGACATTTCGTAGATTAAGTGATTCCTTGAGAAGCTACGATGTCTCCAATGCTTAACATCTATTTTTTGCCTCGATTTCTTTATCCCCCAGAACCAACCATGGTATTCTGAACGCTCTGGAAATCTCTCTTACCTATGACGAATTTTATTATGACGTTGATTTAGCCACAGATTATTGTGGATCCTGCACACTGATTCGTCAATACTGCTACGCCTAATATTGTCTCAAGAGATCTAATCGAATTAGAAATTTTTAATTGGCCAGACAAAATATTTTAGTAGTTTGACTGAAAAGGAATAAAAAACGGAATTTTGGGGGTGAAATAATTATCTTTTTTTAATACCTCATCAAGAATGTCAAATAAAGGTTACGCCTCCGATGCGGAGTCTTCTACCCTAGTTCCATCATCTCTGAGTGGCGACATACGTCGAGGTCACTCCTTGGATACATCCCTCAAACAAATGCACGAAGAGTCACCTCTTTTGTCGCCTCAAACTGAAATCACGGAAGTGGGGCGGTTGATATCATCCAGAGATTTTGATCAAGAATACATTATCCCCGAGGATGGCGAAAAAAAGAGCATACTATACATGATACTTCTAACAATTAGCCTTGGCGGCTTACAACTAGCTTGGTCAGTAGAAATATCAAACGGAACTCCATACCTTCTATCTTTAGGAATGAGCAAGTCTTTAATGGCCCTGGTGTGGATCGCAGGTCCCCTATCAGGAACGTTGGTGCAGCCATATGTCGGAATGCTTAGTGATAAATGCAGGTCTCCATGGGGGAAGAGAACTCCATTTATAATTATTGGCTCAGCCGCGACAATAGTCTCATTACTAGCATTGGGCTGGGTTCGAGAAATAGTTGTCAGCTTCTTCGGAATATTTGGCAGCAATCCTGAGTCACAGTTAGTAAGAAGTAGTGTATTAATTCTTGCTGTTATTTTTGTATACATTTTGGATTTCTCCATCAACACTGGTATGATGATACAAATGACGATGATGATTGTGGATAATAAGTCCTGTCTATGCTCCTATACTGACAAACATTCTAGTTCAGGCCGGAATCAGGGCATTCATATTGGATTGTTCTCCTAGTAACCAACAAGGTAGATGGAGCTCTACTAAATCAGCCTCATTTGTTAACGACTAGTTAGAAACAGCCAACTCAATGGCAAGTCGTGCAGTTGGAATTGGAAATATCGTTGGCTATGTGGCTGGGTTCGTCGATATGAAACCCTATCTATGGTTTCTCGGGAACTCACAATTCAAAATCCTCTGTGCCATCGCTTGTATAGCCCTAGCTTTGACAGTATTGTTGAGTGTATCCACAATTAAAGAGCGCGATCCACGCTTAGAGACTCAATCGAATCCGGGGAGAACGGATTTCCTAACATTTTTCAAAACTTTTTATGCCTCCATTAGACGTCTCCCACCCCTCACTCGAAAAGTATGCGAAATCCAATTCTTCGCCTGGATTGGTTATTTTCCCCAACTATTCTATTCTTCTTCCTACATTGGAGACATATATGTACAGCCTTATCTGAAAGAAAATCCACATATGAGCCTCGCCGAGCTCGACTCTCTATACGAAAAAGCTACCCGTGTAGGGACTTTAGCGCTTCTCTTTTATGCCATCACGTCTCTTATAACAAATTTACTGCTCCCGTCTTTTATCGCGCCCTCCTACGATAAATCATCAGCTACAGCAATCACCAGCAGGTCGTCGACACAAATCCTTGTCATACGTGGATTCACGCTTCGTCGCGCCTGGCTCTACTCTCACATCATATTTTCCACATGCATGTTTAGTACACTAATTGTGCGTAGTGTTTCTGCTGCTACGGCCCTTATTAGCATCGTTGGAATCTGCTGGGCATTGACACTTTGGGCACCATTTGCTATAATTTCTGCTGAGGTTAGCAAGCGTGACGCCCTGCGCCGCTCTAGAATTGCAGCTGCCCGCAGTTCGAGTCAGTTTGACTTAGCTGCAGATGCCAACGAAGATCAAGCTGGCGTTATCCTGGGAATACATAATATGTCAATAGCGGCACCACAAATCTTTGCCACAGTCGGCAGCAGCATCGTCTTTCGATTTTTACAAAAACCCCGGGGTACTCCAGGTGATCAAAGCATGAGTTTTGTGCTTGCAGCTGGCGGGATATTTACGGTAGTGGCAGCGTGGCTTACAAGTCGGATGGAAAATGAAAGAATAGAAGGTGAAATTATCGCAGAAACTTGGTCACTTTGAGAGTAGTTGTAGAAAAAAGATTGTACCCTAGATTTCTCGGGATGAGCAGCAACTAGATCCATAGATACTCGCCTTTCCTATTAAATTCACACCCTGAAAACTCAAGTTCACCAATGATAGGAATGCATGACTTTCGTCGAATATGGACAATAAACTAGGCAGGGCGTGAATGTACATATATCCCGGACCGAAGACTGTGAAAGTTTTTGGCTAAGGACTGGCGTGCAACTGATAATGCTTAAAGGATCCCCGTTATCCTTGCCGCTCGCACGGTGCCATTCGGATAGACTAGCCTCACCAAAGCATGGGGCACACAGCGAGGCTGCCAAAGTGGGACTATGCCAAGAGTAGAGTGAGTCTAACCATTTAGATAGCGCCTAGCGGCCCTAATGGTGATGGCTCAAGCACGCAATAGACTTTGCACTGCGGCCGGAACTGCACCGAAAGCCGTCCCAGGTTTCGGACCCTCAGAAATCATGCACGGCGCGGTAATGTTGAACAAGCAGATGTCCCTGAGTCGCTTATTCTGCGTGATACTTGGCCCTGTCGCACCGTCCTTGTGCGTTAAGTTTGCTTCTGTGATGCACGTCGGTAGTTGTTCAGAATACCCACGGACTCTACATGCCTATGCTCTTGGCAGTTGACCTCCTACAGCATCAATTAGCTCAGTCCTAATTCCTAAACTACAACCTGCCACGAGACACAGGAATATTAGTATGGTAGCATTGTATCACGCAGTCACCTTATGACTTCCCGCGAGAGTGTAGCCTCGTTATTGAAGTGTACAATTACGGACATATAAGTATTCAAAAAAATAACCTGGCCAACAAAGAGGTTTGACGAATTTCTGCTCAGAAGCAGCTTTGAGCTAGGTCGGCCTTTAGCAGGGTAGTAAACTTTGTTCTCTTAAATTATTCTTTAGTCAATTGCTTCTACTTATCACCTTCCAAATCAATTATACAATAAGGCTGTCCCGGACATGACCTTGTGAAATTTCTTAACTCGTGTAGAATTGCGAAGCGAGACTTGTTCTTTGTTCTCATGGTCATCATTATCCAGTTTCATTCAGCTTTATCTCTTCATTTCATAAACTTCCTCTGAGCCCGAGTGGACAGCACTCCTAGCACGCGCCACATTTATATACCCAATCTACCACACCTATCTAGTCAAAGGTGCCATCCAATGCTCTTCCTAGCACCTTGATGTCCACAGAAACGCCATGCATAAGTATCCCCGTGCCTCGCCAACCAATAACGCCCTAATTGCTTTTATTTGATTATTTCGTCAACCTATACCGTGCCAGTTTGGCGGCCTGTCGAGTTCTCGTGGCCGCTCAAATGGAGTAAGACATATCCAAGAATTTATACAAGCGAAGAAAATCGGTCCCATATCTTCATACCACTGAGCACTAAGACAATGTGCTAGCCTCAAGGATTTCATGCGCAGGACCAGAGATACATAAAATAGATCCGTCAAATCTTTCGTTTCGGAGTACAAAAAGTAAAAAAATTCATCGCGTGTCGATACTACTTTCTTCACCATAGCCACCAGCTGGAATGCTTTGTCGACTAGCATTTTTACTTCGCTTCCAAAAATTCATTCGGAACCGACTTGATTTTTTCTGCAACACCCTTATTTTCTGGACAACTAAGACACTTTTGGAATACCTGCCACTTTCTTCTCCATCTTCATCGTTTTCTTCACAAATATCACCATTTTCGGATGGAAAAGTAGTCATATGCGGCGAGTGAGGATGAATAAAACTGTCCACAGATTCATAGTCAGATGTGACTGAGGAGCTTTGCGTGGATGGCGTCAAGCGTAAATTTTCTAATGTTTCCTGCTGAGGCCATTCATCTGTACTAAAGCTACTATCTTCCGTCTTGTTGCTCGAATGACCTTCTGATCCATGACATTTGTAAGCTGTATTTCGACCAAGTACTAGTTTATTGGATGGTAATTGAGCAGAGCTACGTCTATCTTCAACTAACGTGTGGTCGTATTTGTCGTGCTCAGGAAGTGGTGCTGGATTGATTGAAATAGAAGTATTCTGAGGTATTTTTTTGAAAGAAAAGTTGAGGAGCGAATTCGTCGGTGAAACATCTTCTATGTAAGGACTTACACAAATCTCGTTACTAGGAAATTTAATCATTGGATAAGAGTGGTTCCTAGATCTTTTATTCCAACCATCATCCACTAACATCATACTATTGGGTTTCTCTGAGGCAGTCGTTATTATGTTACCGAAGTTTTGAGGACTAGCATCTGGATTCTCAATATTTGTCGAGCGCGAAGAAAAGTCCATGTCATGCATATCAAGATCCTTGGAACCCTGCTCATGTGGTTGTTTTTGAGAAATTTTATCTTGCCAAGCTGACTTATTTCGTTGAAGTTCCTGAATACAAAATACCATGGCTGGCATGACTTCCACTACACCTTCAAACAGGGGGAGAGCAAATAAATTGATGAAGCCTATTTGAGATTTTCCCAGTTCTATCGTCTCTCGCACTGGAGGTGCAAATAGTGCTGTTGGTATGCCTAAGTCTTTCTCCATGGTAGCCTGACGCGCGAATTCATCGGTCAAAATTATAGTCCACTTCGAAGAAATTTCGTGTTTCCGTGCCTATACGCTTAGAAAATATCACAAATGCAGCGAAGACGATACGTACAACATTGCTAATATCTGCACATTTTATGAGTAGTGAGCAAGCCAAAGTTCGCTGTTCACCTAACAATCCAGTGTTCCATTCATTGTTATTACAGCTCTTAGTCATATTTTTCTGAACCCAAGCAAGTTTTTTCATGTATTCGAAATGTAATCCCATATCTGTAGCAAGTATTATGTTTATCATCAGCTGTCTCATACCTGTTTCCCGAAAAACGCTTGGCCAGTGTCGGCGAAGTATTTGTGAATAGGCAGCACAATGAAAAGATTCTAGAACAGAGCGGTCATTATATAACTGAGCCAATGGCGCATTAAGAGTAACAAGAAAGGCATTATTAACTCCAGGGTGTCCCACATCATGGCCGACAGCTGTTATGAGCAGCGTTAGGGCGTCTGAGGGCTTGATTGAATCAGCAAGAGGAGAGTTTCGCGCATGTGGAAATTTGCTCGAACCATGATACGGCGGTATCTTTCCTAGTTCTAAAAGGAAGAAGAAGCAGGCCTGTAACACGTCAACTACATGACGGAAGTTGTGGTAAGGTACAAAGGTATTATATGCCGATCGACTGGCTGTCACAAACTTGGTGAGATTTTCTGCTCGTTCTATTAGTCAAAAATTTCAGAGTTAGTGCTGCAGGAGAAAAGAGCGCATACCCGTGGATAGTCGCCATGGTTCCAGCTCTGGCATTGTGAGGGTATGATGTAGCATCAAAACAGCAGCATGTAGCAACTCATCGTCGGTAAATTCGTGTGCAGAAAAATTCCACGAATTGATAGCCATAGCTATTGTTTCTTTGCGATCTGGCGATATAATAATATTTGGCCAGTTGACAGGTGGATTATAGTCTTCGTGATGGCATATACCATCCATCAATCCAGAAACCATAGCCTCTCGGAGATATGCATAAGGTTTTTGATCATCTATGCCGACCCAAGATCTTTTCCTGGCTCGTTTTAGCTCCATCACTATTTTGTGCTGATTCATATTTTCTCTGATATATCGACACGCATGTACTGCAAGACTGGATAGCCTCTCTTCTTGCAAAGGGCTGGTAAATATATCAACTGCGCCTGCTTCTAGAGATTGCATTATTATTGCCTGGTCAATCTCAGTCGGTGATCTGCGATGTTTCGGGTATCCATCGGACGAGTGCTCTGAGTAGTGGTTATAAATCTTTGCGTGTGACTTTGACTGTAGTAGATTGAGATCGGAGTCCAGCAGTTTAATTAATGCCATTGGTATAACCATGTTAGAGATTTTTTTTTGCTGTATTTCGCACGAGATCGACTCAAGCAACTTCAGTCCATACATCTCTTTTTCTCCATTATCAAAATTGTTTTGCTTTGACCAAAATGATGATACCGGTAGGCTGGGCGCCAATAATTTACAGGATGAGTGGTCATGGAATGGTACGTCAATTAGAACAATTGTAGGGATTGATTCGATGATGGAGGATTGATTTAGATCAGATAGTTTCGCTAGGCACGATCTCCCAGAAGTGCAGAGGTGAACTACCCAAGATTAGCGGTTACGTACTTCCAATGTTAATCAAGAGCAATCTGGGTTCGAACTGTACCTTCGCGACATGCTCGTAGTAGCTTTTGCAGATTTTCTTGCACAAGACACGAGTGGGCGGTAGAACTCTCTGCCATGGTTTTGATGGAAACATCGACCTCTAAAGACGTGGTAGAGATTAAATTTTCTTGTTTGACAGAGCAATTCTCTTGTGCGTTACGGTCCACATATAAAATATTGAATGGTATATGGTTCATCTTTGTGAAGATATCCTCTGCTCCAAAGCTGCATAACCTCGCCGATCTCAAAAATGTACTTGAGAAAACTCTTCACTTTCCGTCGAAAGTAGTAGAGGGTGGTAGTTCTTCACAGTATGTCCCAAGTGGACAGCTTTGTGTGTAATTCGTATCATATAATATTAGGGCCACCGCCGTAAATACGTCTGATTCTTTCCGATGATAATTTATTCCGGAACAGGGCCTGATCGTGGTTAGTTGAGCCTCTGTATGGCTTCTATTTGCCCACACAACAGATATCTCTTCCAGAAGATATACTTGATGGCAATCACTATGTCTCGGTGAGGGCCAGCTCCGCAGCCGATTATGCAATCTATATTTTGTTCGTATTTTTGTGATAGGACAAATATGAATAACTGGCAGCTTTCGCAAAAAATAGGATAGATAACGCCGAGATCTTCCTTGATGACTCTAAATGACTAATACCGGGACAAGATTGAAATGTACCAGTGTTTTGTTTGGTGATTACTACAGTATTTAGTATCAAGCAACGACGTCTGTCTGCGATTGAATTATGTGAATTATTGAACGTAACTCATGTAGGTTAGCGGAGTGTGAAGGGAAGGGAAAGGAAGAAGCGTAGGGGGATGTAAGGGCCACGGAAGGCTGCTGTGCTCACTGAAGTAAATATAGATATAGTAATAAGGGGGTGGGTGGAGTGAAGAGAAAGTAGGAAAGAATAAAGGAATAGAACAGATATCGAAATAGCTCCTGCTTGAAATTTTGGGATGAGAGTTGGAAGGGAAAAGACGTGAACAAAGGAAACTATGAAATAAGTTTATAATGTGACAGCTTTTGTAAGTGATCCGATCTCAGGACTATTTTGAGCAGGAGAAGATAGAAATGCAGATGAAGGTGAGTGCGGAACTCCCATAGGAAGATAGAAGGATGGAGGTTGATTATCAAGGGCTGTTGCCTGAATAGGTTAGTGTCCGCAGGTTCCAGAAGGCAACTAAGAGCTTCGAGGCTTGTCGAGGATTTGTTCTATTCCTTCCGATGCGACGGATGTACCTGAGTTGTCAAGTCTAGCAAGCGAAACAGATAGATCGGCCCCACCCCGCATTTTACGTGTTTGCAGAAAGGTTAAAATGGTTGACAGGAGGCTTCTACACGTGACTTTAATAACAAGCTGAGCCAAATTTAATCTCTAGGCTCTTTGCCTAAACTTGAACCAGCCAACCGAGGAGTGCTTGCTGAATTTGCACCAGGGGAATACAAAATATTCTAGCTCTCAACGTAGTAGGAGCGGGGTAGATGTGCGGAGGATACCATGCTACTTTAATAACTTCAAATCACAAGCATGCATACTTTTGACAAGAGAAACATATACATAACATGTGCGGATGCACAAGCAAATACCTTGACAGTTAGTGACCTGTGGATATTTAGCGTGGGACAAAAAACCATCGTTTACATACCTGTTTATTTAGGTCAATTTGTGCCAGGCTACACAATGTTTGCCTTCATTATACGCATTCGAATATGATACTAGATGAAGCTTAGTCTTTCGTTTATTGCTTGCAAAAGTATACTCAACTAAATGCCAAATCATATAACATGCTATACTCGCTAGGTTGACCTATAATGTATGATGCAAAAACTCAGTTCCCCTTCTCTACTGCGAATACCCGACATGAGAAAATATTGGGAGGCTCTGTAACTGTGCTATCATGCCATCACTCCCTTACCAACAAAGGAATAGGGTAAAGTTGAACACAGTTATGTACCTTTGTGGAAAAACTCGATAAGAAAAGTATGTATCTAGACTGCTTTGAGTCTTATCGATACTTTTTTGGATGGTATACCACTGAACTACACAGCTCGGACCTGGAAGGCTATTGACTAGGGTATTCTATTGGCTGAATTGGCAATTCCATTGTTAGCCTCACAAATCGCTTTCCATATTTCATTCAGCCGGGGACACTTACATGCCGTAATATAATCCTCTAGTCTATGTTTCTCATTGTACCTCAGTTCATGCCCGTCAGATACGGAGGACACAGCATCGAAACAGCCTGCTAATGAATCGGTCTAAGCAAACAGGAGTAGAACTCAAAATACTCACCAACTAGCCCGTTAGTCTAGAGATTTTGTCGAGTCACCATGAACCAGCTTGTTTTTCAAGTTGAACTTTGACAAATGATAAGAAGTCCGTGCTCAATTGACACCTATCAAATTCGATTCTGCAGGAAAAAAAACAATTTAATAGATGATTTTAAAATTACAACCCGAATACGGTAGGATCTATCTTTCAAGAGTTCCGAGAAATATGTTTGGACCACTTTCTCACCTGCTTATAAAAACTAACATCTCCGATCCCCAAATTTAGTCGCTTCTATTCTATCCTGTCGCACAGGTAATATGTAAGTTTTGTTATCACGGAGTTGTCGTTACATGATGTGTCATACGCTGTCAAGGTCATATCTTGATAATGCGGTACGGCAGAATGAGCAGGTAGCGCTTCGATAAGCATCGTAAGACGAGTAAATCTGTCACAAGGAGGCGTGGGCTAGAGGGAAATTTAGCGTCACGAGATACAAGACAAGAGCTTCTTCATTTCAAAGGCTAAGAGTCCAGGGATAGACCGAAGGCTGATCCTTACCGTGCTAGCATCAACTCTATCCATCGTGGCAGGGACATTTCTCGAGGACCATTGGGGTAACAAGGAAGAAACCATTGTCCAATACGCTACTTTCCAATTCAAGAAGAATAATTAAACTTGACGAAAAGTATTTTGAGGAAGAGATAAGATTCTCGTACAAAAGTAGCAAGCAATACTTCTAGTATAAGCTATTCACAGAGAGTCAATCACTTGGCTCATTAATTAAACATGGTAAGGAAGCCAGGACGGAACCCCTATTGGGAAACGGTGTATCTAGGATACGAGCCAGATACTCCAATTTGTTGTTCCCGGGAAAGCGATAAATCCACACTATGTCGACGGTATCATCTCTTAAGGTCAGAAAATAAACTTGTCAAAGCCCAGCCAGCAACAGGCCATGGAACGGGCTAAACAAAAAATTAATCTCATTTATTTCACACCGTGTGCATATAAGCTACCTCATATCAGTATAAACTTTTTCGAATAACCGGCTGTCCGTCGGCTAGTATCGATAACTACTCGTGGCGTTGTTTACTACCACTCAAGGGCATTGGGCCGCTCGATCAGGGGAGTTCCTTTTTGATTGCCACTTTACCGTTTGCACCCGCACGAATGGGCGTGCGCAGATTTCCCCCGTCGTGTGCCGTTACAGGGGAGTTGAAGAATTCTACTTGGGTGACAAGGGTGAGTCCCTGCAGGTGGTTTCTTGTCACAGACTGTTGGTAGCGACGAGGCGCGCGCTCGGTTGCACGCATCTGTTTCAGTACGCACGGTAGCCAACTTCGCTTAGGTACCTGTTCATGTCCTGATAAACTTAGACAACATTCTGCGCATGAATCCTTCGCGGCATTTTGCATGATTAGTTCTACCCGAGGAAGATACGAATATCTATATAACTTTCTCTCACTATGGTTTGAAAACTATTCGCGCTCTAGAGTGAAGTTCGTGATGTTCAGATACACCAGGTGATTGTGATGGTACGCACACGGTGTGGTACGTTAAAGATAGAAGCCATGTATTCATACTTTTAGATTTGAAGGTAATTTTTCAAACATATATTACAGATTGCTATTGATATGGTATACTTCTGGCCCGAGTTTGACCTTTCATTAAACTCGTATGAAACGAAGAGATTGAGGATAAATTGCTCACTTCCTTCTTATTATCTTAAATAAAAAGATTACTCAAACCTTGACCCCCGATGATTGAGGACTGCACTCCGGACTCCTGTGTACGCAAAACAAAATGCGATTTCTCGCAGCATTAGGCAGGATTGCGAGGCTTTACAACCGACGAGCTGATAAAGTTTAAATTCTACACATGTTTGGCTCTTCCTACTCGTATACATCACAACAACGAATGCCCTCTGTAAAACTCCCCAGATCTAATCACACAAAGGCCTTACTCCCTACTTCTGTAGAACACTTGTAGAATCGTCCTTAAGCCCCATTACAACTAATGAGAGTGAGTAGCTCCAGTCTTTTAGGGCATAATTATGATGTCGTTCATGAGAACTTTGACCAGATTATCAAAATCATGCTCAATTTAATATCAAAATTTCGGTCGACGACCAATTCTATCTACTTTTTACCCACGACGAAGCTTGTTGTGCAGAATGGGAGGAAGAAGGCTGAAAACCTGTCAGTGGTATCCTCTACGAACCTGGAAGTCTAATATGCTCCCAGAGCCGAGAATCAGCCACAAATAAGGGTGATTTTGAGCGTTTTCGTCGAGTTGCCGATCAGGAGGAGTGGTGTTGGCTCATTTTTGGTCGCAAATCCGACTTGCAGAGATTTCACGACTGCACAACTCAACGAAATCAACCATCTATACCCCAGATACGAATCTCAGACAATCTATAACCTGTCTGATCTTCGTATTACAACAAACGACACCTTCAAGATCTTATTTTCTGTTTCTCTGGAAAATCATTCCCAGCAAAACTCATCTTGCGGCCCTCTCCACAATCATCTCATCACCTACCTAAGAAATCCCATACCTCCAAAAGCCAAATCGCCATAAAAGAAGCAAGAGGATGTCCGACCCTCTGCAACCGCCAGTCGCTGTGAAGGTACGGTCGAAATACCGGCCTTAGATGCGTCCTCACCTCGGCCAAGGGCGCCAACAACTCGACCTGTGCCGAATCGCCAGCGACGACATACGTACGACATTTTGCCGGCACATCAACCAGAGCGTTTGACAAAGGCTGGGGCACCGGTGCCTCGGTCTTGAGCTCTCATTCGCATTTTCGACCTCCACGGTCAGGGGTACGGTAACGACGGAGCAAGGCCGTAGGGGTGGACATCCTACAAGGTTTCTGGGATGACGAGATCGGCTGAAGGATAGAGGGATGCCGCATGAAGGAACCAAAAAGGAATACAAACTGAGGAGGCCTTGATGGGCGACTGGATGAGGCCTCCAATGAAGAAAACGACCCCTGGATGAGATGAGGAGATGCTGAGATGAGCTGAAGCTGGGAATGAATGGAAGGGAAAAGTTACAGATCGCGAAGGTGTCAAGGGCTCGGGCGTGAAGTGGCTGAGGCTGAGGAGGAATTTGCGCTAAGGTGTCTATACAGCGGGTTTCTGGACGGTCAGGCTTGGTGTGATTTAACACGTAGGTGAAGTCTGAGGCGGTCCGGTCATTCAGGTGGGACGAGGTAGATTTACTGAATGGTAGTAAGCCTGATCCAGCCCGGCACCACCCGTGCCTAAGCTCCAGTAGAAAAGCAACGGTAGTCAGTTTACCTTGCACGTTAATGAATAAATAAATAAATAAACAATTAATTAATTAATTTGAATTCATTTAACCCGATTTGGCGCCCTGTGGGCCCATGCGTGCGGCTATGAACCTATCTATATATTTACATGAGGGAGAAATCATTACGATAAAAACCCCCTCTCCCTATTGACTTTTATATTCCTCTATAGTCCTCCGTTACCTGTAGGAAGTGCAATTTACCTTGAGTCCGAGACAGGACTAGCTAAAATAAACCTCACCATTCTTTTCCTGTCCTCGTAAGCCGAAAAGTGATGATTGAGGTCTTGAGTTCGACTCCGATGGTGCAAATTGTTGTGATGTTAGGGCTAGAGCCTGGACTTGTTTACGCGGGCGTCCAGGCCCTCTCTTTAAAACCTTTGGCCTTTGGCCTTTGGTTGGACACCAGTGTGAACCATTGGTCGTCTATATTCTTTGCCGCTGTTGTTAGTGTAGTTGCCGTGAATGCTTCGCTTTCCCTTCTTAATTCCGCCGTTTTCTCCGAAAGATCATACCGTGCCCGCTGGACGCTGGCCTTGTATGCCGCGAAGCTTGGACACGTCCCCTTCTGCCACCATAAGTGGGCCTTGCCACAGTTGCAACATTGCACCAACTTCTTCGGGCAGTCTCTGGTCTGATGGGTGCCAGTACAACCTCCACATCTCCTTGACTTGTTGCAGGAAGCTTGAGTATACCCCCATTGACTGCAGTTGAAGCACTGCTTGACTTGTGCCCGGGATGACCAGAGTTGGGCCTTGTATAGTGTTGAATCCATTACAATACCATTTCGAATCACTTCGCGTTGCAGAGCCTCTGTCGGTAGGCTTGCGATCACTGACCCTCGAGTATGGCCGTTCTTTTCCATTCATTGGTGCTCTGTGCCGTCGTAGAGCTACCTCGCCCTATTGATTTGGATTCCAGGAACCCGAGATTTGATTTGATTTGAATTCTAGTCGTATCAGGCTTGCGCCCTACACCCACGGGGCGTGATACGGGTGTGTGATCCTTGCGGACTAACTACTACCTACATGAAGGGCTTTTCTTGCCAGAGAATCTATAGAAAGATAGATTGACGATAAAAATGAAATAAAAAAGGGGTCCGAACAAATCCGCCCTGCGCCTTGTCCTAATTTTCCCAGCAGCTAACCAAAGGAAAAACATTTAAGATCCCCGGGAGTGCCTAGGCTTCCCGGTGTATATTTGGTGCACCATAAAATTTAGTCATAGTCACGAATTCAAAGAATTTCTCCCATCCGTCTTCTGCCAGCATCTCGCTCGCCCTCGGGGGGGGGTTCCTTTTATTAGCTTTTCCAACGCTGTACGGCTGGTCGGCATTCTACAAAGTGCCGTGGGCGTTTTTCGCGTCCGCATTCACACTTGCTGATAACATCTTCATGCTTGAATCTTTCGTGATATTTGACAAAGTCACCGTGTCCTGTCCTAGCCGCAATCAACCTGTGGTACGCCCATCTCGGCAGAGCGAGTTCTGGAGGTCGCTTGCGTGTCATCTTCGTGTTAAAGTCCACATAGTGTCTATGCGCATGTTCCTGC